TTATTGCCCCCACAAACTGGGTCCTCATTTAACCTACCTTAGAAAGGATGGAAGGCTGAGTCGACCTTGAGCCTGGCGAGATTCGATCTTACTTTAATTGCAGGCAGCTGGTCTTAAATTACAATGCCTTGTCTGCAGAGCTATCCAGGCTCCTTCTCTTCTCCTTCTTCTTCTTCTTCCTCCTCCTCTTCCTCTTAAGTTTAAGTTTATTTTATTTGTCAAGATATATAACAGGTGAAAGATAAACATAATTGGAATACATGAAAACGAGTAAGTAAAAAGGAATATTAGGACAGAGATGGTAGGCACGCTGGTGCACTTACAGACCTCTTAAATATGGGGTGAGGTCAACAGTAGACAGTTTAAGGTTAAAGTTTTTGGGGTTTGGGGAAGAAACTTTTGGGGAAGAGTCAGGTAGTAACTCTTTTCTGCATATTTCTAGACTTTTAAAAAGCAGAGCTGAACAGAAGATCAGAGTGGAGATTATGCAGTGCCAATGAATGTGACATCACGTAGAAAAGAATTGATTGATTTATCTGCACAAATATTATGGCAATAAGCCAATTGGCAAGACCCAGGAAGTGGATGGTTAATGCGAGATGTAATTAATATCTCAGCCACGTTTGGAGAAATGAGTAACAGGACAAATAGGCTGGAAAAACAGCTTCTATCCCAGGGCAGTAACTCTACTGAACTCTACCGTATAGTGCAATATTAATGCAATATCGGGTTTTCGGTTCAATTGTATAGAATTTAAAGGATGTGTGTTTGTGTTTTATTTTTATACTGCGTTTCCCGAAAATAAGACACTAAACTAAACTAAACTAAACTAAACTAAAAACTAAACTAAAAACTAAACTAAACTAAACTAAACTAAACTAAACTAAACTAAACTAAACTAAACTAAAAATGGGATCATGCAAAGAAACTTTTGTTCTGCACAGAAAATGACTTTAGTTCTCTCTTCTTTTTTGGAAGAGATTTTTTTTCTCTTTTTTTTAAAATACAGAACAATAGACTTGGAAGGGTCCCTGAAGGTCTTCTAGTCTAACCCCCTTCCTCAAGCCTATGCCCTATTTCAGACAAGTGGCTGTCCAATCTCTTCTTAGAAGCATCCCATTTTTTTTTTTAACAGAACCATTTTTTAAAAACAATTTAATGGGGGTTGGGGTCTCTCAGCACTGAGAAAACAGATGGGGAATTAATCAGGGTCAGCCTCGGGAATAATCCTGTCTGCAGAGCTGATTATATACATTTATTTATTTATTTTTTCAACCAACCAACCCGAGGAAGCATTTTTTCTGTTTTCCTGTCTGAGTTACTCAGGGCGGCTTCAAAGAAAGACTCAGTGAAGTCAACAGACGATTGTTCTCCAATGGTTGCAAGCATAGATTCAGATTAACAGAGTTGGAAGGGACCTTGGAGGTCATCTAGTCCAACCCCCCGCTCACACAGGAGGCCCGCGCTAGGGATTCGAACCACCAAACTGCCGACTTTTCTGATCGACAAGCTCCGTGTCTTAGCCACTGAGCCATAGTCAGGCCATAGTCTTCCTTACTTGCTTTCTGAGGGAAGAAACTGCACAGAAGTGAGATAAAAGCTAATAAAAGAGCGGATTTTGCAGGATGGGGTTAACGAAAAAAATCCCAAAAAATCAGGGTTTGGAATTGTGCGGTGCCTTTTCAGACACAGGATGTGCAACGCATGTCGAAAAAGTTCGGGGGTTCAGTTGCACTGTTGTGGCCGCCATCTTGATATTTTAACACACAGACACCCTCTAGTCCCGTGATGGCAAACCTATGGCACGCGTGCCACAGGTGGCATGTGTAGCCATATCAGTGGGCACGCGAGCTCAGCTCCGGCATGCATGCGTGCGCTGGCCAGCTGATTTTCGGGCCTTTTGGGCCCACCAGAAGTAAGGAAACAGGCTGTTTCCTGCCTCCAGAGGACCTTGGGGGGGGTGGGGAAGGCCCATTTTTCTCTCTCCCCAGCCTCCAGAGCCTTTCTAGGAGTCTGGGGAGGGCAAAAACGGCCTTCCTCACCCCTCTCCGGAGGCCTTCTGGAAGCCAGAAAGGGCCCATTTGGCAACTTCTTGGAACCAACTTGGAAGTTGGCAAACGGGCCATTTTCAGCTTCCAGAGGGGAGGCTGTTTTCACCCTCCCCAGATTCCTAGAAAGGCTCTGGAGGCTGAGGAGAGCAAAAAAACAGGCCTACCGTGCCATCGCGTGCCAGGAGTGGGGGGAGCGGGCGGGAGTGCATGCGCGGGGACAGGACTTTTTTGCCCGTTTTATGACCATGCAATGAAACAGGTAGATCTTAATTCTTTACCTGTCCATACAGGTGTTTCTGTGTGCAATCTGGACTTCCTAAAATGTTATAAAATAAACGTGTCAGATCTCCACTTCTTAACTTCTGAGGTCTCAATGCACCAGTGTTAAATGAACATTTACACACAACTTTTTTACTATTTCTAAAGTTATGACGCTCGGATGTGGCCACCGTCCTATATCGTATTACAAAAATGATGTTCATTATCGTCTAGTCCAGGGGTCTGCCACCTTAAACACTCAAAGAGCCATTTGGACCCGTTTCCCACAGAAAAGAAAACACCGGGAGCCACAAAACCCTTCCTGTGCCTGACTATTTCTTGAGCGGCCACAAAACTAGCATATGTAGTTGAATTAAAGATTCTGTTTTCTTCTGAAACTTTTCTTTTCTTGGATTTATCCATGGTTGGCCTACCGGGGGGTTGAAAAGCTCAATAAATCGCGTGCCGGCAGGTGTCGCACATTGGCGGTTGTGACGCATATTTTGAGTGACAGGGAGCCACAGCAGAGGGGTGAAAGAGCCACATGCGGCTCCAGAGCCGCAGGTTGCTGACCCCTAATCTAGTCAAAATGCCTGCAAAACCCTAATACTAAAACATTAACGACTGCAGCATGTCAAAAGACCCCTCCTCATATAATCTCAGGGGAAAAGGGAGCCGTAGCTAATTAAACCAAATTGGACTTATTAGTGGAAGACAGAGGGGGAATTTTCAGTGCAAACCTTGGACAGCTGTCTCCCGTTCTTAGCACTTAGCTTTTAAAAGGGGCTATTTTCCCCCCCATAAATTCCGAAATCCTTCAAAATTTCCACTGAGATGCTTGCTGCCAGGATGAACTCTCTTCAAAGCCGTATAAATATTGAAAGAGACGCAACAGGGCAGGCTAAGCAATATTGATGGGTGGACTGTGGTTTTGAGGTTTTTACAATTAGGCTCCAAAGAAGCAGTCTTTTGAGTTACGACCGTAATTGAGCACCAAAATTTAGGAGTTGTGACGGTCGTACAGCAGGCGACCACACAGCCAGACCCAAATTTTTTGCAGCAATTGTTAAGCAAACACCACCGTCGTTAAAGTAAACCCGTTATCGGCCATGGGGGAGATTTTGCAAAGCAAAAACATCATGAAATCACAATTGTGGAGTTGTGCAAACGGCCGTAAGTTGGACTGATTGCTGAGCATCCAAACTGCAGTCATGTGACTACGGAGAAACCCAGATATTAATTTTGAAATTGGGTTGTAAGTAGCTTTAGGAGAGCCCGTCGTAACTTCGAACCATTGCTAAGCAACCGTTCGAAAGTCAAGGACCTCCTGTGTCATTCCAGAACCACAGTACATAAAACTTACTGCTGATTTTAGACATAAAATTTGAGAAATACCCCTCAAAAATAACATTCCTCTCTTCCCTCTTTGATCTTTCCCCGAAAACCAGCCTTATAAAAATCGATATTCCCGTTTTCCCCAAAGGATTTGATTCCTTCAAACGGGTTTTTCCTCTGCCAGGCTGAGATTTCAAAGCGCTTAAGAGGAAATCTTGGATCGAGACCCGAAATCTGAAACTGGCTTTAAGAAGCGGGAAGCTGAGAAATTGATATCCGGATTTGCTGAGCACAATATCACTAGACTCTGTTTTTGGTTTTTTTGCAAACGAAAATAGACCTTTTTCCGGAGAGTTGGTCCTGCCCCTGGGTTGCAAGGGGGACAATACTGCCTTTCATTCATCTCCAGAAATCATAATAAATGAGGTCATTGGAGCAAAGCTGCTCAGGCCAGCTTAGGAAAGAGATTGGCTGCCAACAGGAACGGGCAGGGTGAGAAAAGAAATGAAAATATGACACCCCAGTCCTAGCACGAGGCACTCCCCCCCAAAAAACCTTCAACTTACGTTCATAATTAGGAAACAGAATTCCCACTGCTAAGCGAGGCCGTCGGTAAGGGAGTTGCACCATTTTTTGATTACAAATAATATTTAAACCATTCCAAAAATAAACTTCAAACGTTCAGTTAAAAGTACTTCTGTAAAGGTTACAGCCACAGAGATACCTGTTCATGCAGCCTCAAATCAGCAAAAATTAAGGAAAAACAGGCAGCGATTTTACTGTAGCAGGGAGTTGCTTAGCAACCTAAAATGTACATTTACACCTGGTTGACAATGACTTCTGCTGGTCAATTCTAATAAAATAAATCCTTCTGCCCCCAAATATCTTCTTTTCCCCGTCCAGACACGGTATGTGCCATGTCTGATATATTGCGATATCACTCCTAATTTTTTTATCTGCGTATTTTAAAAACTAACATACATCCTCCGATTGTAAGAATTTCAGAGCTGCCTTGTGAGACCAAACCGTATTTTGCTCCTAACCAATACGAGGCAAGGTTATTTATGGATGCACATCTCATGGGTTGCCCTCATTATGAAGATAGACTACTTGACACATGGGAGGCTCTTTTGGGCATCTCCAGGCACCAAGGACCCCAATCGGTGGGAATCAAAAGACCCCAGTGAGCCCTAGCTGTAATCTTATCTTTATTTTTGTCGATTTTATCATAATTTCTGTTTTTGGATGATTGCAAGCTACCCACAGTCGTTGAGATTTGGGCAAGGTCCAGGTTTAATCAATTATTATTAGCGTTAACCTTCAAATCCTTCATTTATGAATTGTTGGGAGACTTACTGAAGTTTCTTTGGGCTGTGACGAATAACTAGCTCTTCCTTCCTCAGCTGGGGTCTCCATGCTGGCGCTTAGAAACCAGGATGAGCAGAGAGGGAGAGATCTTCTAGCAAGCCAAGGTCCATTTTCCGTCTTAAAAGACTTCAAGCTGTCTGTGCCACCTGCGAGAAAATAAAAACCAGGTGTGTGAAGAGCAGATGTTGAGGGAGCACCACAATTGTCTTTGCTGGCAGAACAGGTCTGTGCTGGTAGAACAGGGTTGCCCAACTTGGCAATTTAAAAATGTATGGACTTCAACTCCCAGAAATCCCCAGGCACCCCATGAGGGACTCCAACTCCCAGAATTCCTGGTTCACCCATGCTGGCCGTAGACTTCTGGGAGTTGAAGTCCACATGTCTTAAAGTTGCCAAGTTGGGAAACCCTTTTAGTAGAACATCAGGAACAGTATAATGTATACATATACATAGGCTGCTTTGAGAAGGTGATGTTACCAGACTCCTTCAGGAACGCAAGCAGTCCCGGACTTACAAATCATCCGTTTAGCGACTGTTTGAAGTCACAATGGCATTGAAAAACATGATTTATGCCCAGTCCTCACACTTACAATCATGGCTGCCTCCCCATGGTCATGTGATCAAAATTTGGGCACTTGGCAACCACTGTGTATTTACGACAAGTGCAGCATCCCGTGGTCACATAATTATATACCCAGACATACATAGAGTCATATATATATATAAATATCTGTATCTATATATGAGATATAGATAGATATAGATACAGACTTTTCAATTTCAATTTAATTTCAATTTTAATTTCAATAAGAATAGAGCTGGAAGGGAGCTTGGAGATCTTCTAGTCCAACCCTCTGCTCAAGCAGGAAACCCTATACCGGATAGATAGGTAGATAGATAGATAGATAAATAGATAGATAGATAGATAGATAGATAGATAGATAGATTGGAAGAAATATATACTATAGATATATACTGTAGATATATAATTGTAAGCCACTCTGAGTTACTCTATGATAAGATGGGCAGCCAATATATTTTAATAATAATAAATAAATTACCATTTGCGATCTCCCTAGCTGGCTTCCTAACAACCAAAGTCAATGGGAGAAGCTGAATCCACTTAACATGACTCACTCAACAACTTCAGTGATTCATTTAATAACCATGTGGTTCATTTAACAGCTGCAGTGATTCGCTTTGACAACTGTGGCAAAAATGCTCGTAAAATCAATGCCACTCACTTAACCCCTGCCTCTTTTATCAAAGGGCATTCCTACCTCAATTCTGGTCCTAAACTGAGGACTATCTCTTATATTTACAGCCAGACTGTACACTGACAAAAAATTCATTGTTCCTTGGAGAGTAGGAAAGGCTCCTGAAAAATTTCTCCCCAATGTCAAAACCTATCTAGCAATGCTGATTAACTTTTGTTAACGTATGTGCTGCATACAGTATGCATTTTCCATCCCTTGTTATATTTCACCATCAGGGGAAAAAAATCCAAATTGCCTCTGTAAAAGTGAGCTTATTATGCCTTATTAAATTTCTTATTGCTGACTCTTTGCTCGTTCTACTATGCACGGAGCCTCACTTAAGTGCTGCTTTCTACAGAAAGGAGATATATATATATATATATAAACCCTAACTAATAAGCCTGATCTATTACAGGCTCTTCTCCATGCTTATATGAAAGCACTAAATTTAACAGTTTAATAATTCATAATTACATTTAATTGGAGGTATCGAAAGCTGGTGCTTCCCTGAGCTAAAACGTTCTCTATCAGGGGATTAAAAATAAATTGGAAGGAACAAACGTGCCCCAATAAGACCCATGAATTTCTCATCCTTAAGTTTCCTAATATCCACTTTTCCCCAAGGATTATTCATAAGGACAATTTCCACTGGAAAACCAGCACAGAAATCCACTCCCCCAAAAAGTGGAAAAAAAATAAAAATAAAACACAGGTAGACCTCAAACTTACGACCACAATCGAGCCCAAAATTTATGTTGCTAACTGAAAAATTTGTTAAGTGATTTTTGCCCCATCTTACGACTTTTCTCGCCACGTTTGTTAAATGAATCAATGCAGTTCTTAAATGAGCTGTTAAGTGAACTTGGCTTCCCCAATGATTTGGCTTGTCAGGAGGTCGCCTGTATCCCCTTTTCCCCAAGGATTATCCATAGGGACATTTCCTTTCCACTGGAAGGCCAGCCAGAAATTCATTCCCACGAACCCCCCCTCCCAAATTTAAAAATAACAAAAGCCTGACCTTCTAAAGGAAGGGGGGAGAATAAAATAGAAATCTTTGGCATATCCTAGCCAGACCCAAACTCCCCACTTCCCCAAAAAAGCCCCCACCCACTCACCCAACATCTTCCTTTTGCCTTTAAATCCAACAACTCTGTGACTATTTCCAAAACCCCTTCCCTACTGGTGAGCCCCCAATTTTTGAAACATTGCAAAGTCCATTCCCTGTGAGCCCCCAAAACTTCTGCAATATTACACCATTCCCTGCTGCCCCCACCCCCAATTTTTGTAACATTGCAAAGTCCATTCCCTGCTGCCCCCACCCCCAATTTTTGTAATATTGCAAAGTCCATTCCCTGCAGCCCCCACCCCAATTTTTGTAACATTGCAAAGTCCATTCCCTGCTGCCCCCACCCCCAATTTTTGTAATATTGCAAAGTCCGTTCCCTGTGAGCGCCCAAAACTTTTGCAATATTACACCATTATTCCCTGCTGCCCCTTCCCCAATTTCTTGTAACGTTGCAAAGTTACTTTTTTTAATAACTTTTAAAATTTTTAAATTTTAAATTTGTCTTATGAATTTGGGGTGTTTTAAATTTCGTTTCCGGGGCCAATTATTTAATTGTATTTTAATGGTTTTTTAACATTTGTATTATATGTATTTTATTTGGCTGTTCACCGCCCTGAGTCCTTCGGGAGTAGGGCGGTATACAAATTCAAATAATAATAATAATAATAATAATAATAATAATAATAATAAGAAGAAGAAGAAGAAGAAGAAGAAGAAGAAGAAGAAGAAGAAGAAGAAGAAGAAGAAGAAGAAGAAGAAGAAGAAGAAGAAGTCCATTCCCTGCTGCCCCCCCCCTCCACCTCCAATTTTTGCAATATTGCAGCCCATTCCCTCCTGGCCCTCCCACCTCCCACCCCCCATTTTTTTCAACATTGCAAAAAGTCCGTTCCCTGTGGGCCACCCCAAAAAAACCTTTTGCAATATTACACCATTCTTCCCTGCTGCCCCTTCCCCAAATTTTTGCAACATTTGCAAAGTCCATTCCCTGCTCTCCCTCCCCCCCCTCCCTCATTTTTGCAATATTGCAGCCCATTCCCTGCTGGCCCTCCCACTTCCCCCCCACCCCAATTTTTGCAACACTGCAAAGTCCGTTCCCTGTGAGCCCCCCAAACTTTTGCAACCCTGGAAAGACCCCCCACCCACCCACCCACCCACCCCCTTCTTGGAAAAGCGGCCTGGCCCGGGCAAGGGAAGCCCCAGAGGAGGCCAGGCTCTGGGCCCAGCCCCCATGGACCCAACACTGGGCCCTCTTCGCCCCCAGGACCCACCTTCGGGGTCTCCCCGCCAGCAGCAACGCCAGGCCGGGCCCGGAGGGGTTGCATCGCCTCCTGGGATCAGCCGGCCATCCCAGCGCGTTCCCGTTGCCTTGGAGACGCGCGCCGCGGCGACCCCTGGCGGCTGGAGCGCAAACCGCATCCTCCCTCCCTCCCTCCCTCTTGCAGAAAGCTTCATTTTAAAATCCAGATTAAATGACACAAACACAACACAACACGCCCCTTTTGCACCCAGGCTCGGCTGACAGGCTGGCTGTCAAAAAGGATCGCCAAAAGCAGAATGCACGAGCCGAACTGGCTGCAGAGCTCCGTTTAGAGTCGGGGTTGCTGTCAATTTGAGTTGTGGTGATGTTTTTGGCTCTTTTGTGTGTGTGTGTGTGTGTGTGTGCTTTTTTCTGATCATGTGCCCGGAGTTGCTTTTGGAGAGCTGGATGGAAATGAATTACAAATATAAATATAAAATATAAATACATGCACACACCCCGACTGGGAATTTGTTTGATGCATGGCCCGTCCTTGGGATGTGAAGTTGGAGGGTGTGATCTCACAAACACACCAAGAGGGAGTCAGTTGTTTGCAACTTGCTGGTAAAAGCCAAGTCAGAAGGAGTTAATAGGCAATCCACCTTGATGATAAGAGAAGAAAGGAAAGAAAGAGAGAGAGAGAAAGAAAAAGAAAAGGAAGGAAAGGAAGGAAGGAAGGAAGGAAGGAAGAAAGGAAGGGAAAGGAAAGAAGAAAGAAAAGAGAGAGAAAGGGAGAAGGGAAGAAAAAAGAAACGAGAGAAAAAGAAAGAAAGAAAGGAGGAAAGAAAGGAGGAAAGGAAAAGGAAGGAAAGAGGAAAGAGAGAGGGAGAGAAAGGGAGAAGGGAAGAAAAAAGAAACGAGAGAGAAAAAGAAAGAAAGGAGGAAATGAGGAAAGGAAAAGGAAGGAAAGGAAAGAAAAGAGAGAGAAAGGGAGAGAAAGAGAGGGAAGAAAAAAGAAATGAGAGAGAGAGAAAGAAAGAAAAAGAAAGAAAGAAAAGAAAAGAAAAGAAAAGAAAGAAAGAGAAAGAAAGAAAGAAAGAAAGAAAGAAAGAAAAAGAAAGAAAGAAAGAAAGAAAGAAAGAAAGAAAGAAAGAAAGAAAGAAGGAAAGGAACCCAGGGGAAGGATGACATTTTCCCCCATAATAAAATCAACAGAGCCTCCAGGGTTAACTATAAAAAATATTTATTCTTCTGTAATAAAAGGTGCAGCTCATGAACCAGGAGCCAGGAAATTATTAACTACCTCCAATAATTTCTCTAAACACCAAAAGGAGGAAGAAAACAGACCTTTTAACACAGACTTACTTCCCAGAAAATTTTCCTCTTAGTAGAACATCTAGGGTTATTAAACTATTCGTCTTAACAAATATTGATAATTAGAAAAAAGGGATACACAGATTTTAATACCTTTCAGCTTGGGGGCTGCTGAAAATAATCCCAGAATCCATTTCCTTCATATAATGGTTAACAGAGTAATTGCTCCATTTTATTATGATTTTGCCAATGGAAACTGTCCAGTTACTCCAATTATTTGCAAGAGAAAACAGCCTGTGCTCAGATCAAGAGTTGTTCATTATGAAAAGCATGTGTGAATGTAAACACCAGCAAAAACAAAACAAAACAATGGGGCCAAATAAAATAAAACAAAACATCCCTTCGGAAGTTCTAGAAAAACATTTCACCCACATCCATTCTCGTGGACTTTAGAATGATACCCATTCAGGCTGAAATACTCTTAAGCAATTCATAACTTATCAGTGAGGCTGGCTAAAAATTAACCCTGATATTGAAGGATAATTATTGCAAAAAATTAACCCTGATATTGAAGGATAATTATTGCAAAAAATTAACCCTGATATTGAAGGATAATTATTGCAAGGTTACATCTCCAAAGCTAAAATGAACAGGTTGATCAGCCTGCCTGTATCCATATAGAATTCAAAGAGTTTGCAGATGCTAACTCTTTGTAAAAAAAGACATTGTTGTGCTGTTTCTGTAAAAGTGTTGCATAAATTAGCTTGAAAACAACCAGCCACTGATACCTTAAAGTCAATTCAATACTTTAAAAAGAGCATACAATATTCCCATATTTAGTTGTGATGCTTTCAAAGGTTTGTTCACACTGGATCTCTGTTTTTGAATGGCTCTTGGCTTACACCGATGTTCCTGCCCAAACATAATTGCATCAAATGAACATTAAAACAACTGGTATCTATTTTATTCCCCAGTTTATTTTAAGTTGGGAGAGTCCTCATACTTCAGGCTCTGTGCAAATATTGTCTCCTCCAATATTTCATTTAAATTGCACCGAAATGCTGGTCTGTGTTTACCAAATTGTTTTGAAATTAAATATAATTATTGTCACTGTGAATTTCAATATTCACAATCCTGAGAAAACCTTTTAAAGTCATAAACACAGTTTAGAAATTTAAAAAAAAAACAAAACCCACTTCACAACATCTTTTAGATTCTTTCCGGGTGCCTTGAGGACTAGTGCTGTGATTCTTTTAAAATAATATTCAAGCGGGTCGAGCATTGAGAGATCTCACCCCAATTTCTAACCTGATCTCACTCCAGTTCAATAAATATAAATAGGATTCGGAAACACAGAAAATGCGTCTTCATGATTGATAAAACTCAGTGCAAATAATAAACATAAATTATTGGGGAAAAATTTTTTAGAACAAAACTGGGGATCACATTTCTGCTATTTAGTGTTTGTTTAAAAAAAAAAGCTAATTCCTCTGTTACTTAAGGTAATTTATTTGTGCTTCTTCACAAAACATTGGATTAGCTGTTAAATATATGGTACCTCTTTAGCCAAAGGTGTAAACTAGATTGTTTTGCAGGCTAAAAATCCTGTGGAGTAGCTGCAGATAAAAGAAACTTTTCTTCGTATATTTTCCACAGCAGGCAAGCAGATGTATCTCCAATCCCTATTTATTCGACAGAGTCCAAAGTTTGATCTGGAAAGCGAATTTCACGCCTTCCACTCCTAGTTTCACTAGCTGTGAAAACACACAGACCAACAAATCTTATTTGGGACAATATTTTGAAGTTCAACAGTAGTGTGTATCCAACAGCAAACGAGCCAAGGGTGATTTCTTTAGGCTGTTTCGCTCTTCCGACATCGTGAGTCCTTTTGGGAGTCTGCTATTCCCACTAGGCTATTCTCCTCCATTTAAATACCTCTCAAATATTGGAGAGCTGTAGTCCCATGGCTCTAGAGGAGTTGGGGAGTATCGAGTTCATCCTTGTCTGTCTTAACGAGGGATGGAGTGGTCCAAAGGATTCCCATGTCTTTTTGTAAGCACAATGACCACAAGATTACCCCTTGCGCCAGCCTCTTTAATTTAATTTAATTTAATTTAATTTAATTTAATTTCCAATTTATATACCGCCCTTCTCCCTCTTCAATGCTCATCCTTCTCTGCTGACATCTCTTCTTACCACTATCATTGTTGACAGGACAAGAAGCAACGGGTGGAAACCAGAAGCCAGAAACAACCCAGAATTAAAGAGGAATTTCCTGAAGGTGAGAACAATTAATCCGTGGAACAACTTGCCTCCAGAAGTTGTAGGTGCTCCATCACTAGAGGGGGCTGGACTAGAGGACCTCCAAGGTCCTTTCCAACTCCTGTTAATTCTTTATTCAGTCGTCTGATCCACAGTAGCTGGGGAATTCTGGGAGTTGAAGCCCACCCATCTTAAAATGGCCGAAACTGAGAAATACTGCTTTTAAAAGAAAGATAGGTCAATGATCTCGCCGTGTAGAAAGAAGACAGGTGAAGAGCTCACACCTTTTTGCCAAAGTCCTCACCCGCCATAATTTCCAAAACATTTCCTCCCAAGGATACACATTTTTGAAGAAGGCAGGATGCCCTGATCCTCTTTTCCCCTTGAAAATAATCTAATTTTAGCACGTGAGGAATCTGCATAATTTTACATCGTCGTTGTCTTTTTTTCCTGGATCCATTTCACTGCGTGGAATTTACGGTATGCTGGGAATCTTCTCTTGTATAAAAAGATGTTACAGATCGCTCCGTTCCTGGTCACTCCGGGAGCTAAGTTTTCAGCCTGGTGAAAAGGCACCATTGTTTCTTCACGAGCTGAGCTGCCGAAGGAATCGTCCACTTGTTACACGCACAAGGAAAATCCGTACCAGTTTCCTCCCTTACCAATGGAAGAACATTTCCAACACCCACCAAATTCCATACGTCCTTTGCCCCAGGAATTGCTGCAAATGAACGTCCAAGCAAAGAGCCCCCTCAAAAGTTTTCTGTAGTGTGCTTTCTCCCCCTCCCCTTTATATCAAAAATCCTCTTGATATAAAGACATCCAGCAATGATTGCTTGGAGAAGGGTTTTTTTAAAAAAAAAAAAATCTTGCAAAACTTTTATGTTGCTTGCTCCGTATTTCAGCTGGGCTTCGTCCTCCAGCTTGCTCTCTTGCTTGGTTAACACGATCCAAGAAGCCATTTTTCCTCTGTAACCTATTCACTTATCCCACTGCCCAAAGGGCTAATTTTCTCCCCCCCCCCCTCAAGAAAATAATCCTTCCTCCAAGAGTCCATTCTGACCTGATCCAGACTGCAGGGTGTTTTTTTTTCCCCCTGAAACAACTGAGCCCCTGCGGTTTCTCGATGTCGTTTAACAGCATCTTCGGCACTTATACCAGAGTCCCGTTCTTGTTGTCGTATTTCAGGGGGGCTCGGGGGAAATTGAGGGTGGCGTATTCCGTTGCATTCTGCGACTGGAAGTTTTTCACCTCCTGGGATGAGCGTTCGCGGGGCTTGGCGAAGACCTGAATGTCGGCGTAATGCACGCTGCTTTCATCCAGCTTCATGTTCTTCGGCTTGCTCACCGTGGCGTAGACTGGGAACTCCGAGACGTCGTCGTAGACGGGGGCCACCTCAAGACCCTTGACACAGAGAGAGAGAGAGAGAGAAATCAAATCACTGAGGCTCAGGTCAAACTTTTAGGAATATGAAGTTTAAAAGCCAATTATTTATTTATTTATTTGTTTAAATTTCTATACCGCCCTTCTCCAAATAGGACTCAGGGCGGTGCACAGCCTAAGTAAAAACAAAACATACAAAATTTAAAAAACAGTATTAAAATAATTAGATATTCTGGCCGTAAATTAAAACAACCCAATTTAAAACCAATTTAAAATTTAGCTCAAGCCAGCCCAATTGGCGCTTGCTCTCCGTCCCTTAACAGGAGCACAAAATATTGGGTTAACTCTGCCCTCCAGGAAGGTGAGCTACGTAAAAAGATAATTTGCACCCCATAGGACAGACCTTTGGGATTAAATGAAACAATAGAAATTTTGGGGTCAGTTGTATTCGTAAGTACAGGACTATGTATAATCAGAGGTGGGCTGTTGGAAGTTCGCAGGGGTTCGGGAGAACCTCTAGCTAAGATTCTGTGCAGTTCGGAGAACCCACAAATCCTACTCCTCGCTGGCCCCGCCCACCCCACCCCACTCCTCCCAGGAGTCCCCATACGGCCCGTTTTGGATGCAGGTAAGTGCAGGACGTGCACAGAGGCTTGGGGAGGACGAAAAATGGGCCTACTGGAAGTTTGAGAAGGCCGCAAATGGGCTCATTTCCAGCCTCCAGAGGGCCTCCGGAGCCTGGGGAGGCCACTTTCGCCCTCCTGGAGGCTCAAGGAAAGCCTCCGGAGCCTGGGGAGGGCAAAAACAACCCACCCGCCATGGTTCAGGAGAACGACTAGGCCACGCCCACCATGGCCACACCCACCCAGCAACCGAACAAAGAACCCCTTGCTAAAATTTTTGAAGCCCACCCCTGCGTATAACCCCTGTAAGAAAGATTGAGAGCTGTTATATCTTCCTTTTCTCTCTTTTCTCTCCTTTCTTTCTCATTCGTTTCCTTACTCTTTTCTCACAAATTTTCTTTCCCTTTCCCTTCCAGGTAGCCCTCCCCACGAACACAATTGAGCCCCAAATTTCTGTTGCTAAGTGAGACACTTGTTAAGTGTAATTTTGCCCCATTTTACGACTTTTATGGCCATTGCTGTTAAGTCAATCAATGCAGCTGTTAATTTGGTCACACGGATGTTAAATAAATTTGGATTATCCATTGATTTTCCTTGTCCAGGTGATCACAAAAGGGGATCCCATGATCCCAGGACATTGTGGCCATCATAAATAGGAACCAATTGCTAATAAACAGTCTGAATTTTGATCACGATTGCAGTGGTCGTAAGTATGAAAAACGGTCGACAGTTGCTTTTTTTCAGTGCCGTTGTAATTTTGATCGGTTGCTATATAAATGTAAGTCAAGATTATCCGTATTTTCTTTTTCCTTCGAATGTTTTTATTCTGTAAATCATGGTTCAATAAAAAAATTAATTATGGAATAAAAAGGAAGTTCTCTCCCTAAGAAAGGAATTTATTTACCTTATTGATTTCTGGCGTCCGTAAACTCGGCTTACTGATCCTTGTATCTGTAGGGGAGAAAAAAGGTGATAATTGCTGAATTGACATCGCTTGGACCTCTGAAATCACGAAGCCTTGAATCTGAATAGAATGAGAAAACTCCGTGGCTGTTTTCATATTTAGGGAAATCAATTAAATCTTGGAAAAGTGGACAGCAGACTGAAATTTCCGCAGCTTACCTGGAGAAGAATATCTGTATTTAAATCCAGAATCATATCTAAGCTCCCTGGACCCAGAGATCTGAAACTAAGCATCTTGGGATTCAAAATTCCTGACCGAACTGTGCAAAATTATGTTGTGGGTTTGCCTTTTCAGAATGCAAGTTTTCAAGCCACATATTGGCGTTATTTTGCGTGAATGCAAAACTCCTAGCTAGCTGCTCATTTGTTTCTAAGTAAAAAGAAAAGAATTGGCCCCGAAACTAAAATTCTCAGGGTGAAATTAAACCATCCAAAAAAAAAAATAGAAAACCACTTCAAACAACAATTCACGGAGGTGGAGACGAATGTGATGGGTGATGCCATTGTCATTCATTCATTCATTCATTCATTCATTTATTTATTTATTTATTTATTTATTTATTTTTATATGCCGCCCTTCTCCGGAGACTCAGGGCGGCTTACAATGCGTTAAGCAATAGCCTTCATACTTTTGTATATTTTTATACAAAGTCAGCTTATTGCCCCCACAAACCGAGTCCTCAGCTGAGTGCCAACAACCTTCATTGTGCCCTTTGCAAATTTTTAACCCAATAGGCCCCCCCACCCCAACTCATCCCTTTGGTGTGCCGTTCCCATGAAGCCTCAAGGTGTCCTGGACTACAATGCCCATGTCAGTGTTCAGCCCAGCAGGATCCCAAGCAGAATTTTCTGATTGTTTCTTTGCAAACTCTCACCGAAGCTGTTTTGCAAGAATCAGTTTCCCCCAGGCAGGTTTTTTTTTTAATTTACTCTCAGGAAAAACGATGCCTAAGCGGAGAGGCTGAATTCAGATGTTTCTTCGGCCCGGAATATTGGACAGATCCCTGTCACGTCAGTCCAGCCACCTCCAACCTGTGGCTGTGATGATTTTCCTGCCTTGTTGCCATTTTATGCTGGCTTATCCAGACTCCCTGGGGCCTGTAAATGGGATAAATTAATAAATGCATCTGTATGGCTTACCTGGTTTTTCTTTGTCCCTCTTCAACAGCGAAGGGCAGTTGCTGTTTTCAGAAAAGAAGAGAAAGAGGCACGAATGAATTTTGAGAGGATTCAAATTCTGACAGCGGTTTCGTTACTGTTTTGCAAATAGCATTTGATCTATCGCCTGAAGAGGTGGCTCCGTGGCTAAGACACTTGAGATTGTCGATCAGAAGAGTCGGCAGTTCAGCGGTTCGAATCCCTAGTACAGGTCTCCTGGGTCGGCAGGGGGTTGGACTAGATGACCTCCAAGGTCCCTTCCAACTATGTTACTGCTATGTTACTGCTAGCCAAAAGGCCAAGAAGCGAATAACAAAACAGTGTGTGTGTATAGAGAATAGAATAGAGTAGAGTAGAGTAGAGTAGAGTAGAGTAGAGTAGAATAGAATAGAATAGAATAGAATAGAATAGAATAGAATAGAATAGAATAGAATAGAATAGAATAGAACAGAATAACTTTATTGTCACTTTGAATGTACACTAATTGGCATACATTAAAAATGAAATTTCATTGCACACAGCTCTCAAAAGGGTCAGCACCAATTTTACACTACATAAACATGGCAAGATAAATAAGTAAGTAAGTAAATAAATAAATAAATAAATATAAAATTATTTATAAAGGTAAAGGTTTCCTTCACACATGCGTTCCAGTCGTTCCCGACTCTAGGGGGCGGTGCTCATCTCCGTTTCAAAGCCAAAGAGCCAGCGCTGTCCGAAGAAGACGTCTCCGTGGTCATGTGGCCGGCATGACTCAACGCCAAAGGCACACGGAACGCTGTTCCCTTCCCACCAAAGGTGGTCCCTATTTTTCTACTTGCATTTTTTAACGTACTTTCAAACTGCTAGGTTGTGCAGAAGCTGGGACAAGTCACGGGAGCTCACCCCATTATGCTGCACGAAGGATTCGAACCGCTGAACTGCCGACCTTCCGATCGACAAGCTCAGCGTCTTAGCCACTGAGCCACCGCGTCCCTTAAAATTATGTATATAACCACGCATATTATATGACACAGAGAAACAACACAGCCTAGTCCGGATGTATACATGTCCATGGCGAGAAAAATGAATCTTGCGAGTTGACTATATATATATATATGAAATTGAACTAATTTAGCCATGCTGCGAAGTGGGGAAATTCTCCTGCCTGTCCTTCAAATCTTCCCCTTCCTCTTTTGGGGGTTTGCTACCACTGCCCCACCTTTTACAACATTCGGTCTCTCTACATTATGGAGTCCTGGGAGCAGCTTGGATGACAAGGAGTGGCTTTCTGAATACTTTTTGCCTGTTGAGTTTCACATTCAATTCCATGTCAGTTTCCCAGCAACAAGAAAAGGAGATTTTTTTTTTTTAAGAAAAAAAAAGAAAAAGAAAAAAAGAATAGAGGTCTGAAAACTTGCACCGTAAGACATGAAAGAATGCAGGGAATTCCCCTCCTTGGTCTATTTAGCCCAAACCGGTCGGTCCTTTCTGAGAGACGGCCATGCCTTTAAAACGGGATAGTTTTAAAATACAATACTTTTTAAAAACATGTCCTGCTTGCTCCTTCTTGTTGGTGGTGCTGCTGTCAGGGACCCCAAAGTAGCAACCAGTAGTTGTTTAGGGGGGGTGGGGTCTTTTAAAATCTCCCCCTCCCGTAGCAGGGGAGGCTCTGAACTTCCTTGCCAAAGCGGGGCATTCAAGCTCTGCCTTCAATCTCCCCGTTGGCATCATCGCCACCGTCTCCGTGGCCTGGCAAAGGTTTTGAACATGAGAAGGTACTCGAAAATGATTGGGCTCCTTCAAGAGGTTGGAGCAACCTGAACTTCCGCCACTTACGGAAAGCCACAGAGGGATGTTGAGGGGGGGGAGGAGAATGGTGGGAGGGGGGGTGGCTGTGGCCAGGGGTTGTCTTCAAAAATTTTAGCAAGGGGTTCTCTGCCCGGTAGCTGGGTGGGTGTGGCCTAGTCGGCCTCCTGCACCATGGCGGCAGGGGGGGCACGTTTTTGCCCTCCCCAGGCTCTGGAGGCTTTCCTCAAGACTCCGGGAGGGTGAAAACGGCCTCCCCAGGCTCCAAAGGGCCTCCGGAGCCTGGGGAGGCCTTTTTCACCCTCCCGGAGTCTTGAGGAAAGCCTCCAGAGCCTGGGGAGGGCAAAAACGCGCCCCCCCACCCCCCGCCATGGTGCAGGAGGACGACTAGGCCACAGGTCCGTTTCTGGTCTTCCCGCACTTCCAGTAGGCCCGTTTTTGGCCCTCCCCGAGCCTCCGCGCACACCCTGCACTTCCCTGCATCCAAAATTGGCCACGTGGGGACTCCTGGGAGGGGTGGGGAGGGGTGGGCGGGGCCAGACAGGAGTGGGATTTGGGGGTTCTCCGAACTGCACAGAATCTTAGCTAGAGGTTCTCCCGAACCCCTGAGAACCCAACCCTGGCTGTGGCGGACTCCCCCATCCCCACCCTCCTTTCTCCGTAAAATGCCAAGGGCAGCTGGGCAGCGAGTCAAAACAGCAACTGGATGACCTTCTGCTGAACAGACACTCAGTTCTAGTCTTGGTAGCCGCAACCCCCCACCTTCATGAAAGGAGGACAAGGGGGGGGGATATCCAGAGACGCAGCAACCATCAAACCCATCATGCTCAGACGTCCTAAAGGGACCCTCCCCCTTTTTTTCAACGCTCCAAGCAAGGAGAAGGATCTCCTCTAAATAAGATGAGCTGTTCTGCAGCTTTCTTTGGTGGTGGGGAATTCAAGACCCTCCCCGCCCCATTCTGTCCCCTTCCAGGGACATCTCCCTCCCCCCTGCAGGGAAGGGGGGTCCCTGGGCTGGCTAAGAAGCCCCTGCAGCCCCTTTCATCTCCCCTGAAAGACAAAAGAACCTGTTGCCCTTTTAGGAACAGGGAACAGCAAGGGAGGCCAATGCCAAGACTGCCTTAAATAGCTCGGCCTTGAATCGGAGTGGGGCATAATCATTGGCGCTCCATCGTTGGCATCTTGGGCAAAGAATGAAAAGGGCCCAGATCGCTTTTCCAGATCGCTTTTCTCTTTGTAGGGGAGCGAAAGAAATAGATGGCAGAGGCTGGCCCCCGTTCAGCCCCACCGCCTCAAATAGATCCTTTCCCCAACCTCCGCAGCTGGAAGACGGCGTGGACTCCAAGTCCCAGAATTCCCCAGCCAGCTGTGTTGCTAGAGAATTCTGGGAGTTGAAGTCAGCGCCCATCTTCAAGCTGCGGAGGTTAAGAAACTCCGTTCTAGGTCACTGTTCAATCTTGGGGATATATACCCCACGTAAGAAGAAACCCCCAAAATTCAACATTGAGCTTGATGTATGAATTTAGTAAATAAATATTATAAGCACTGGGTTCTTATTTTTTATGTAAAAGAAAAAAAAAATCAATGCTTCCAAAGGAACCATTCAACAGGGAGGCATAAATATATATATTTTTCTGAGGTTTTTGCGGGTGTTTGTATGTAGGTCTTTGGTTATTCAGGTTTTCTCCTGCGTAAAATTGGAGGTGTATTGGCAACATTTCGACGAAGTCTCATTCGTCATCTTCAGGCTGGTGTTCTCGGCTTCGTGCTTCTAGGAGCAATGTTGCATTGCTCCTAGAAGCACATTGTCACATTGCTCCTAGAAGCACGAAGCCGAAAACACCAGCCTGAAGATGACGAATGAGACTTCATTGAAACGTTGCCAAGACACCTCCAATTTTACGCGGGAGAAAACCTGAATAACCAAAGACCTACACACACACACACACACACACACACACACACACACCCACCGTGATTTGGGGCAATTCTTGATAGGAGGTGAGGGCTGAATTAGGACTAAGGAAAATATTGTCATCTTGTGGGGGGGCTCCAAATGGGCATATAGGAAGGAGGGAAGAGATCATGCTCCCCCACCAGCCAAGATTAATTGCCAGAATTAAACCCCTCTCCCCAATCAGTGCGACACTTCCTTGCATCTCCACTAGGTGACGCTGTTTCCTCCGATTTGGCCCCAGCAGCTGGATTGCCTTTTCCATGAAGCTAAAAAGCAAAGCGGAGTTTCCAGTCCGCTTTTCCCAGAAAAAATGATCTGCTAGAAAGCAAAGGGAATTGGCCCAGGATCAGGGGGTGCAGGACTTTAGGAGACACCCCCCGAACCCCCCCAAAATAAAAAAAATAGAGAGAGTCTTAAAGCAGGGGTGTCCAAACTTGGGAACTTTTAAGACTTATGGACTTCACCTCCCAGAATTCCCCAGCCAGCAGGTAGCTGCTTTAAGATGTGTGTGGACTTCAACTCCCAGAATTCCTTGCTGGTTGGGGAATTCTGGGAGTTGAAGTCCACAAGTCTTAAAAGTTCTCAAGGTTGGAGACTCCTGGGGTCCAGAAGCTAAAATCCCAAATTCCACCGGGGGAGGGGGGAGGGAGGGAGACTAGAAGGGAGTAACCCCCACCCCTTCAAGTTTGTCTCCTGGCCAATGGCCCCAAGAGAGCGTCTGTGTTTGTGTGTGTGTTTGTTTGTGAGTGTGTGTGTATGTGTGTGTTTGTCTCTGTGTGTGTGTATTTGTGTGTGTGTGTTTGGGGTGTGGGGTGTGTGGGGGGGTGTTTGTGTATGTTTGTGTGTTGTTATGTGTGTGTGTATTTCTGTTTGTGTGTTTGTCTGTGTGTGTGTTTGGGGTGTTTGTGAGTGTTTGTGTGTGTGTGTATTTGTTATTTGTGTATGTGTGTTCTGTGTGTTTATCTCTGTGTGGGTTTGGGGGGGTGTTTGTGTGTGCGTGCATTTCTATTTGTTTGTGTGTGTATTTCTGTTTGTCTGTGTGTGTTTGGGGTGTTCGTGTGTGTTTGTCTGTGTTTGTCTGTGTGTGTGTTTGGGGTGTTTGTGAGTGTTTGTGTGTGTGTGTATTTGTTATTTGTGTATGTGTGTTCTGTGTGTTTATCTGTGTGTGTGTTTGGGGTGTGTGGGTTTGTGTGTGTGTGCATTTCTATTTGTTTGTGTGTGTGTTTGTGTATTTGTGTGTGTATTTGTGTGTGTGTGTGTTGTGTGTGTTGTGTGTGTGCCCGGGAGCCGCGCCAGCTGAGCCGAGAGCCGCTCCCAGAAACCTCTTCCTTCCCCCTCCCTCTCCCCCAGGGCTCTGGGAACACAAAGCCCATCCTCCGCGGCCGGAGCGAGAGAAGCCCCCTCCCTCCCTCCCTCCCGGCGCTCTGTGCATGGGCAGAGGTTGCCTGGGGGGAAGGGGGCGGAGGGGGGGGGGGCTCTTCCCCGCGGACTCACCGGCCGGCGCAGCAGCCGCAGCGGTTCCCCATGGCGGTGGCCGCCGCTTCCTGGTCCCGGCTCGGCCCCGGGATGGCAGCCCTGCCGCGGGCGAGCAGGAGGAGGCGGAGGAGGACGAGGCGGAGGGCGGAGGTGTCGGGTTTCCAGGCCGCCCTCTGCTGGCGGCGCTGCCGGGAGGCGCGGGGGGCTCGGGGCTCGGCCGGGGGGCGGCGGCCAGGAGGGGCGTTTCCCCACTTTCGGCCCCCGCGGAGCCCCTCCGGAGCGCTCTCGGCTCCATCAGCCACAGCCTTTCCGCTCCCATCGTCCACAACCTTTTTGCTTCCAGCATCCTCATCCTGCCCCATCATCCACAGCCTTTCCACTCCCAGCATTCTGCCCCATCATCCACAGCCTTTCCACTCCCAGCATTCTGCCCCATCATCCACAGCCTTTCTGCTTCCAGCATTCTGCCCCATCATCCACAACCTTTCCATTCCCATCAACCACAACCTTTCCGCTTACAGCATCCTCATCCTGCCCCATCATCCACAACCTTTTCATTCCCATCATGCACAACCTTTCCACTCCCAGCATCCCCCTCCTGCCCCATCATCCACAACCTTTATGCTCCCAACATCCCTACCCTGCGCCATCATCCCCAATCTTTCCATTCCCATCATCCACAACTTTTCCACTTCCAGCATTCTGCCCCATCATCCACAACCTTTCCATTCCCATCATCCACAACCTTTTTGCTTCCAGCATCCTCATCCTGCCCCATCATCCACAACCTTTCGGTTTCCAGCATCCTCATCCTGCCCCATCATCCACAGCCTTTCCACTCCCAGCATCCCCCTCCTGCCCCATCATCCACAACCTTTATGCTCCCAACATCCCTACCCTGTGCCATCATCCCCAACCTTTCCATTCCCATCATGCACAACTTTTCCACTTCCAGCATTCTGCCCCATCATCCACAACCTTTCCACTCCCAACATCCCCGTCCTGCCCCATCATCCACAACCTTTCCATTCCCATCAACCACAACCTTTTCGCTTCCAGCATTCTGCCCCATCATCCACAACCTTTCCATTCCCATCATGCACAACCTTTCCACTCCCAGCATCCCCCTCCTGCCCCATCATCCACAACCTTTATGCTCCCAAGATCCCTACCCTGCGCCATCATCCCCAATCTTTCCATTCCCATCATGCACAACTTTTCCACTTCCAGCATTCTGCCCCATCGTGCACAACCTTTCCACTCCCAACATCCCCCTCCTGCCCCATCATCCACAACCTTTTTGCTTTCAGCATCCTCATCCTGCCCCATCATCCACAACCTTTCGGTTTCCAGCATCCTCATCCTGCCCCATCATCCACAACCTTTCCACTCCCAGCATTCTGCCCCATCATCCACAGCTTCTATGCTCCCAACATCCCCACCCTGCCCCATCATCCACAACCTTTCCATTCCCATCAACCACAACCTTTCCACTTCCATCATGCCGTCCTCCTCATCCTGCCCCATCATCCCCAGTCATTCCAGTCCCATCATCCACAACCTTTAAGCTGTCACAAGGAAAGAGCCGGGAGGCCTTCTCCACCCAGAAAGTCCCCACTCGGGGAGCTCATTTGGGGCCGTGCCAGGGCCAGGGTGACAGCCCCAATGCCGCCATTGAAGCTGTGTGGCTTTGGAGGCGCTGTGATGGCCGCCATTTTGACTTTTTTGCCCCACTTTCCATTTTAGGGACCCCCGTGCTGCTGGCACACTCCCCAGAAAGACGCTCTACCCATTGGGACGGGCATAAATACATTTTCTAAGTGGGGAGGGGGAACAGAGGGTTTTTTTGGGGGGGGTACACGGCTTTTCACCACCAGCAGATCTTCCTGGTGGCTTCCTTCCAGATCCCTGGAGATCCTCTCCTACACTCCCCACCCCACCCCAGATCCCCAAAGAAAGCAGAAAAACAGGACATCCAACAGGAAAGGCTGCGTTTTGCAGGACGGGGGGGGGGAGCAGCCCTGTTGGATTGCGGCTCCCTACATTACGCGCAGCTGTTAAATGGGGAGGGGGCAACCCTTCCGAGAACAGCAGCAACAGGTGGACCTCTGAGCCATCACCCCCCCCACCCCAACCCTGGAAAGGAGGTCCAGATGCCAGGCACCCAGCCTGTCCATCACCTCCGATCATTTGGCAGGCGGCGGAGAGGTGGAAAGAGAGAGATTGACACCTGTCAGGGTGTTTTCTTTAATGAAAACCCTTTGCTAAGAGGAGGGGGCAACGGCCAGGTGGACGAAACCTCAGAGGAGACGTTCAAAAATGCTTATATCCCACCCTCCTCCCACCCTCTGGAACGGGTCTCCCACCTGGCTGGGGAATTCTGGGAGTTGAGGTCCGCCAGGCTTAAAGTTGCCAAGGTTGGAGACCCCTCCTCTGGACAATCGTGCCCCCCACCCACCCACCCAGGTGAGATCCGCACCCATCCCCACGGCCTTCGGAAAGGGCCTGAAGACTTAGCTCGGCCAACTGGCTTGGGACCCCGATGGAGCCGTATTATTCTGGGGTGGGGGGTTAACGGAGTTGGAAGGGACCTTGTAGGTCATCTAGTCCAACCCCCCGCCCAAGCAGGAGACCCTACTCCATTTCTGACCGATGGCAGTCCAATCTCTTCTTGAAAGCTTCCAGTGATGATGCTCCAGTGGCAAGGTGTTCCATAGGTTGATTGTTCTCCCTGTCAGGAAATTTCCTCCTTATTTCTAGGTTGAATCTCTCCACCTCATCCCCTGTACGTCATTCACCTTTCCTGGCCGCCTTGGTCAATTTTTATTATTATTATTATTATTATTATTATTATTATTATTATTATTATTATTTTAATTTGTATACCGCCCTTCTCCCAGAAGGGACTCAGGGCGGTGAACAGCCAAAATTAAAAATACATACAATACAAAAGTTAAGATAATTAAAAAGAATTAAATCATTGGCTTCCCAATTTAAAACCCCCAAGTCTATAAAATAAAGTATAAAATTTTAAACCAATTTGAGTGTTTAGTAATAGTAATACTGCTACCATTTATTATTTTAAGGTTTTATAATGGGGATTGATTGAGTGATTGATTGATTGCCCCTACAGATATTTCTCTCTCTAGGCACGCTGAGAATATATCTGCTGAACAAAACTCCTCACTGGCGACAGGAAAGGCATCCGGCCATTAAAATGCTCTGCTCCATTCAGTTGCCCAGACTTCACCCTGCAAGGGATTATGGGGTTGTTAAATGATGATGATGATGATGATGATGATGATGATTGATTGCCTCTAGGCAAGAAGGGCGGCATAGAAGTTTAATCAGCGGGAGGCTCTGCACATGCAAAGAAGCGTTGCGCGCCCACGAGCGAACCGGTAGCGAACAAAATTTAAACCCACTGCTGCCCCAGACCCACAATGCAAGCATGTCCTGGAGGGGGTCATGTGATCCCCCCCTTTTTTTAAAATTTGATTTATATGCCGCCCTTCTCTGGAGATTCAGGGCGGCTTGCAATGCGTTAAGCAATAGCCTTCATCCTTTTGTATATTTTATACAAAGTCAGCTTATTGCCCCCACAATCTGGGTCCTCAATTTACCTACCTTAGAAAGGATGGAAGGCTGAGTCAACCTTGAGCCTTGGCGAGATTCGAACTTACAGTAATTGCAGGCAGCTGGTCTTAATAACAGGGTGCTTTAGACCACTGTACTACCAAGGTCGCAAGGCTTTTGCGACCTCCTGCCGAGCAATGTCCATTGGGAAACCCGATTCGCTTAACAACCGGGTTCCTAATTTAAGAACCGCAGTCATTCACTTAACAAAGGTGCCCCCACCCCCAAACAAACTCAGAAAACTCGCTAACTAACTAAATTAACTAACTGAAGTAACAAATTTCTCAGCAGGATAAATTTTTAGTTTCAATCGTGGTTTTGTGAGTGCAGGACAGCCTGTATGGTGATTTTTATACAGCTGGAGCTGGACAGGAAAATGCAAAAAAAACCCAACAACCCACATTTTGCAAGGCTGCTCATATAGGTCCCGTCCACCCTCTGAGTTTGTGTCCCTGGAGTAGCTTTTCACTTGAGTGCAGAAACAAAAAAGCTTTCTCAACAATCCTGTTTCCCCTCCCTGTCCTGCCCTCCCCTGTGCCACCAAGCCAGTCTTGGCTGCCTGTTCACATTCCCTTTTCATAACACGTCTGTGGGCACAAAAGAGCACCCACTTAAGAGTGCCCTCGGGTGTGTTTTTGTGTGTGTTTTTTTTTTTTTTGTGCTTTCCTGATCAAATCCAGCCGGTGTGCGGGCATCCAAAGGTAAGACCTGCGTTTTAGTAGGGAGCAGGGGGGGGGATGGAGGCAAGGGGGGTCCATGTGGGAGATGAGGGGTCAGCCATCGTTGGGCGCCAGACGGGAGAGGGCACCATGCCAAGCCGTGGAAGATCAGATCAGAGGAATTTCTGGACCTCCAGAAAGATTTGGGTCCTCGGGGAAAGCGAAGTCCAATTTACGGCGAATAGATTAACCGGTGGAGCAAATGTTTAAGCGCTGTCCCAAATGCCTTTCTTAGGAACAACACGTGGAATGTTAACTAACGGACAGAGGTCCAAATTCTTGCTCCTGTAATTCATTTTATATTTTATATTTATATTTTATTAAATTTCTATACCGCCCTTCTCCCGAAGGACTCAGGGCGGTGAACAGCCAGAAGATAAAACACAGAGATACAAAAATTTAAAATAGATTAAAAACGAATTAAATAATTTGGCTGAATTTAAAAATACCCCACAATTTAAACCGATTAAAATTTGTATTTAAAATTCATTGCTTAGCGATCCAATTTCCTTGTCTCTCCAATTTGCCTCTGCCAAGATTTTGTCAGGACAAACCTGGAAAATCTCGTGCGTTGCTCCTGGAATCAAAGGCAATGAGGGTGACCTGAATAATTTATAAAACTTGTGAAAACCATTTGCGGGTCCGATGGCCGGCAGGAAATGAACGTTTTTCGGAAGATGCTCCCATGATTAGAGAGGTCCATTCGGCGTTGCACTTCACTCCCTGTCCAGAAAATCCAAAAGTGGACAAGCTAGCTTTAAAAAAAAATTGTTAAAAAAAAACACACACACACACAAATATAATTAGAATTCCGCACTGCAGACAGGTTTCACGCAGCCGGAGTTGTTATTGCAGCGAGCTTTCCGAATTATGTGGGTCAGCGGCTGCGACTCAAAATTGTGCTTTCTTTTCGGTTGTGGCTTTAGGGCTGGCTGTTTCTCATCGCACTGAAACACAAACAAGCTGTGAGTTGGACGGGCTCTCCAGCCAAAGAATGTTTTTTTTTT